ATGTTTTGACCACCTTTCGCCAATTCCCTCTCCACCCACCCCCCTCCTCAGGTAATCACAGATCAGGTTTTTTCCCTCTATAAGTTTGGTTTCATTTGTTTATTTGTTTTAGATCCCACGTATAGGTAAGAACATACCATATTTTCTTTGTCTGATTGATTTCACTTAGCACAATGATCTCATGTTGTCACAAATGGCAGGATTTCTTTCTTTTCTATGGCTGAATAATATTCCAACATATATGTATACCAAAATTTCTTTATGCATTTATCCATCAATGGTCACTTAGGTTGTTTCTGTGCCTTGACTATTATAGGTAATGCTGCAATGAACACGGGGCACAAACATCTCTCCCACATGGTGTGCTCTTTTGGATATGTTCCCAGAAGTGGAATTGCTGGGTGATATGCAAATGGAATTTTTAAGTTTTTAAGGAACTTCCATATTATTTTCTTTAGTGGATGCACCAATTTACATTCCTACCAACAGTGCACAAGGGCTCCCTTTCCTCCAGCATTTGTTAACCCTTGTCTATTGGATGATAGCCATTCTGACAGCAGTGAAGAGCTATTTTATTATGGGTTTGATTTGCATTTCCCTTATGATTAATGATATTGAACATCTTGTCATGCTCTTATTGGCTGTGTGTCATCTTTGAAAAAAAATGTCTATTCAGGTTCTTTGTCCATTTTGATTTGGTTATTTGGGAGGTTTTTTCATGTTTTGTTGTTGCTTAAATTTTTTAAATGTTTTTAAATTTATTTTTGAGAGAGAGCGAGCACAAGTGGGGGAGGGGCAGAGAGAGAGGGAGACACAGAATCAGAAGCAGGTTCCAGGCTCTGAGCTGTCAGCACAGAGCCCAATGCAGGGCTCGAACTTATAAACTGTGAGATCATGACCTGAGTCAAAGTCAGACACTTAATTGACTGAGCCACCCAGGTGCCCCTGTTGTTTTTGCTGTTGATTTGCATCAGTCCTTCATATATTTTGGATATTAACCCCTTATCAAATATATAGTTTGCAAATATTTTTTCCCTTTTCATAGATTGTCTTTTTTTGGTTTTGTTAATCATTTCTTTTGTTATGCAGAAGCTTTTTAGTTTGATATAATTCCACTTGTTTATTTTTTTATTTTGTTGCTTGTGCTTTAGGTGTTAGGTGTGTGTGTGTGTGTGTGTGTGTGTGTGTGTGTGTATTTTTGACAGAGCAAAACAGAGTATGAGCAGGGGAGAGGCAGAGAGAGAGGGAGACCCAGAATCTGAAGCAGTATTCAGGCTCTGAGCTGTCTGCACAGAGCTCGATGCGGGCTTGAACCCACGAACCATAAGATCATGACTTGAATCAAAGTCAGGTGCTTAACCAGCTGAGCTACCCAGGCCCCCCTAGGTATTATATTTAAAAAATCATTGCCAAAACCCATGTCAGGAAGCCTTTTTCCTGTTTGCTTCTAGGAGTTTTAAGGTTTTTCATCTTATATTTAGGTCTTTCATCCATTTTGAGTTAATTTTTGTGAGTAGTGTGAGGTAGGAGTCTAGTTTCATTCTTTTACATGTGAATATCCAATGATTCCAGGACCATTTATTGAAGACAGTGTCTTTTCTCCACTGGCTCCTGTGTCAAATATTATTTACATGAGTTTATTTTGGGGCTCTTGATTCTTTTTCATTGGTCTGTATGTCTGTTTTTATGCCAGTATCACACTGTTTTGATTATTATAGCTTTCATATATAGCTTGAAATCAAGAAGGGTGATGACTCCTGCTTTCTTCTTTCTCAGGATTACTTTGACTATTCGAGGTCTTTTATGCTTTCTTAAAATTTCAGAATTTTTTTCTACTTCCATAAAAGTGTCATTGGAATCTTGACAGGAATTGTATTGAATAGATGGCTTTGACAACTATGGACATTTTAACAATATTAATTCTTCCAGTCCACGAACATGGGATTTAGATACTGATAGAACTCAATCATGATTTCAGCTGAAGTAAGTGAAATTATTTTCTTTTCCAGAGACCATTCTCATTTAAAGCTCCTCTTATTTCTACTATCTAGAATTTCTCTTACATATTTTTACATATGTAGGTCTGAAACAATCCAGATTTCATGATTATTTTCTTTGTAATATGGTTTGATATTTCCTAATTCCATCACAGTGTCAAAGGCTCCATGTGGGTAATCACATAACATATTCCTCTCCTGTAAAATTAGATGTCAGATTAAGAATTTAGCTTAAAGACAGTTAAATTTGTTTAAATAGGTAAGCCTGCTTGCCTTCCTACTTTCCTTCCTCCCTTCCTCCCTTCCTCCCTTTATTCCTTCCTTCCTTCCTCCCTCCCTTCCTTCCTTCCTCCCTCCCTTCCTTCCTTTCTTCTTTAATTCAGTGACTTCTTAAAGTTGTTTCTTAATAATTTTGTACATACCAAAAATTTATGAATAATAAAAAAGAGTTGTTTTAAAATAATTGTGTCATACAGCTATCTGGTTCTCTCTTTAATAGTAAAATGGAGAAAAATCAAACAATGGTTACAGAATTCATCCTACTGGGATTTTGTCTTGGTCCAAGGATTCACATAATCCTTTTTGGGCTCTTCTCCCTGTTCTATGCCTTCACCCTGCTGGGGAACGGGCTCATCCTGGGGCTCATCTGGCTAGACTCCAGACTGCACACCCCCATGTACTTCTTCCTCTCCCACCTGGCCATCGTTGACATAGCCTATGCCTGCAACACGGTGCCCCGGATGCTGGTAAACCTCCTGAAGCCAGACCAGTCCATCTCCTTTGCTGGCTGCATGACGCAGACCTTTCTTTTCTTGACTTTTGCTCTAACAGAATGTCTTCTCCTGGTGGTGATGTCCTATGATCGGTATGTGGCCATCTGCCACCCGCTCCGATATTCTGTCATCATGAGCTGGACAGGCTGCATCATCCTGGTGGTGACTTCCTGGGCATGTGGCTCCCTGCTGGCCCTGGTCCATGTGGTTCTCATCCTGAGGCTGCCCTTCTGCGGGCCTCATGAAATCAACCACTTCTTCTGTGAGATCCTGTCTGTCCTCAAGCTGGCCTGCGCTGACACCTGGCTCAACCAAGTTGTCATCTTTGTTGCCTGTGTGTTTATCTTAGTCGGGCCCCTCTGCCTGGTGCTGGTGTCCTACACACGCATCCTGTTCGCCATCCTGAGGATCCAGTCCGGGGAGGGCCGCAGAAAGGCCTTCTCCACCTGCTCCTCCCACCTCTGCGTGGTGGGGCTCTTCTTTGGAAGCGCCATTGTCATGTACATGGCCCCCAAATCCCGCCGCCCTGAGGAGCAGCAGAAGATCCTTTCCTTGTTTTACAGCCTTTTCAACCCTATGCTGAACCCAATGATCTACAGCCTGAGAAATGCAGATGTCAGGAGTGCCCTGAAAAGGGCAATGTGCAAGGAAAGTCATTCCCAATTGGAGTGACATTGGAATCACCAGACTAAGTGCTTGATCACTGCCTAAATCCAGGAAACTTCACTTTTCTCATCTTAGGTATACCTAAAGGACAAGCCCTCCTCTTCCTTTGAATGAAAAGCTTTAGATATGTTGTATTCATTGATTATCTACAGGTGTGATTTTATCAGATACGATCTTTTTCTTTTATTGCTCATTGAATTTAATATCTGTGACATTAAAAAATGTTTAAGTTCATTTTCTAGGTCCCAAAGGTTGAACACAGTCTATCTCTCTTTCTAACCTAAGTATTTAAACTCACTAAACTGTATATATCATAAGACTTAGGGAAAAAAAGAAAGCTGCAGTGAAAGATAATGACCCTCCAAACCCAGAGGCACACTTGTCCATTATCCCAAAATTGTACTTGCCCTATTAAAGAATAACTGTTAAAGAAACTCAGAGGTATTTACTTAACGTGTTGCATGATGGTGAGAAATTTTGTATGAAAATTAACTCACATTAGGAAGTAAACAAGCAGGCTGATTGAAAGAACAAAATTAATGCAAAGAATATAGGAAAAAGGAGAGAAGAAGGAAAAATTTGTAGACAGGATGGGAATAGTGCACATTGTTTATAGCTCTGGAGATAAACTGGTTACTCGTAGGTAACAAAAGAGCAAAACTGGGCATTCTCTCCTTGAATAGGCTGATAAGGGGTATCAAAGAAAACATATATTTAGGGTTGTTTGTGGATTCGCCAGAAAACTTTGAGTGTAAGCTGTAAGTTATCTAGATGTACAGAGTATCTCAATATGTGCTTTTCTTTTTTATGAGAGTCTTTTTATTAGCATGTCCACCTTGCTTGTCCACATGTACATAATTTCCCTCATTAGATGTTTTATCCTTGAAATAGGAAATTTGACCAGAGAACGTAAGTGGCTAGTAGAGTATAACTGGCTATTTTGGCTTGGTAATGCACTGGTTTTTACTAATTCATTCTACTTTACAAATCCAATGATTAGGGATGAATCCCATACATTTCAGGTGGCTTTGTAGGGTGTCACCTATAAAGTCCATTTTCTAACCTGCCTGGAGACTAAAATGGCCACTTTGTGTCCAGTCTTTCACAATTTCATATTAAGAGTGAATGGAACACTTGTTCAGAAGAATACATGTGTTGCCCTTCACTTGGGAATCAATAATTACTCAACCCAGGGGCACTTTGGTGGCTCAGTCAGTTAAGCACCAATTCTTGACTTCAGCTCAGGTCATAACATAACCTCATGGTTCATGGGTTCAAGTCCCACGTTGGCCTCTGTGCTGACAGTGCAGAACCTGTTTGGGATTCTTTCTCTCTCCCTTTCTCGCTGCCCCCTCCCCTCAAAATAAAAAAATCTTCAAAAAAATAATAATTACTCAACCCAATTCCTAATTACTGGGCAGCAAAGCTCACTAAATGTGAAAACAAAATGGGTTTTTATAATACTAACATTTTGGTTAATGGCTTTCCCAGTGCCATACTCTATGAAATGATAACACTTGACATGGACTATCTCATTTAGGCATTATAACAAAGCTGTGAAGAAGGTCCTATTGTCAGTTTGATATACACTTATACCAGAAAGTAACAAGTATCTGGCCTTTATCTTGACAGTCTGGCTCCCAAGCCCTCAGTACTTAACAGTATGCACTGTGTGCCTCAACATCAGTGTTATCGATAAAGAACAAAGCTAAGTTATCCCAAAGGTGAATGTGTTACATAAGGAGGGCTTGTTTCCAGCCTTCTATGCCACAGTGAGTTGATCTGTGCTCTGTAAGGCCTAGAAGATGAAATCATTTATGGGAAGTTGGTTGTTGTGCACAATGATTCCTATGGGCAGAGTCGCAAAAATCATTGGACTTTTAAAGGAACACAAAACATAAAGAAGATGAAGATAAAGGCCATTCTTATTGAGATTGGTGATTTAGCTGAGCTAAGCCCCAGAACCAATACACCAAGATAGCAACACCATAGTCTGTCTGTCTCTCCCTCTTTCTCCCTCTCTCTCTGTCTCTCTCACTATAGGCCAGTTAATGCACTTTACATATATTTCTTATTTAATCCTCAAAATGGTCCTTTGAGGCAAGAGACAGTATCCCTACTTCACATATAGGGAAACTCAGGCACAAGGAGATGGAGTAACTTGCCCAGTATCATAGATACTAACTGTCCAGGCCAGGATTGAACGAAGGCAATCTATTTCTTGACCTTATAACCATAACCACTGGGAAACATGGCCCCTTTGGAGCTATCTGTGGATAATGACCAGAGAGATCAAGGTAGTAAAACAAAATCAGTGACTAAGATCAAGTGATGGCCACTAGGCTTCAGACAGAAGCTTTGTTTGCTAGAGGAAGCACCTTGACTCTAAACTTATGTAAGCAGTGGGTGTGATAACAAGAACGAACCTTGACTCCAAGGGTCAGAGACCAGAGGAGGGCTCTGGCCATGAGCTGTGCAGGGAAGCAGGAAACAGTGGAAGAGAAGACCGACATTTCAGTTTCGCTTGATGGAGTAGAATTAGAATGGGTAGTTGATAGTAGTTTACCTAAAGGAGCCCGTTCTCAAGACAAAGGAATTTAGATTTCCTTTTCGGTGTTGAAAATTGCTGTAATAATCTTTCAGGTGGCATTTATAGAATATTGCTCAGAAAGGTACCGAGTTTCATAGGTAAGATGGGAGCTCCCCAAGGGCAAGAACTGGAGTCTCTCCACCTCTTCTTTTTCATCCACACTAGCACCCTGCCTCGAACATAGGAGGCGCTCAGTGAGCACTGGTCAGGTGCACTCATGAGCCTTTATCACTTAGCTACACGCAATCTTCAATGTTAAACTATCTTATGATTTCCACATTTTTCAAAATCCTTTAGTATGGTAGAAAATAATTGCAGCTAAAATTTATTTGGCAATGGTTGTGTACCAGACACTATATTAAATTCTTTAGGTGTAACCCTCACCTCAAAGCTGTGAATTATTAATGGTATTTCCACTTACAGAAGGGAAACTGAGGTTTAAAGAATTAGTGAACATACCCTATGTCACAAAAATCTAGTAGTGGAATCAGAATTCAAATCCAGTCAGTCTGATGTGGGAAACAAAGGCAGAAGGAAACGGCAGGCAAAATTAAATTTTCCTTATAACCTGCAGCCCACTGACAAATACTTGAGGCAGACAGAGTAAAACATTCCTGCAGGAAGTCCCTACTATCTTACTGTTAATACTTTGCCAGAGGGGAAAACAACCCTAGCTTGACAATAGGTAGGCTTCTGGGATCCTGTGATTCTTTAGCATATGAAAATCCTTTTGGAAACTTTCCCTTCTCTTTAGCTCCCCCAACTCGCTAGTATATAATTACTGACTCCTTACAGTCCGGGAAGCTCTTTCTGCCCAGGGGTCCTGTCCCTTTGCTTTAATAAAGCCACCATAAAAAAATAAAACACCTTTTTGCACCAAAGACATCTCAATAATTCTTCCTTGACTGTTGTCTCCAAACCCCAACACTTCAAATCCCATCAAATCCAAACTAGATTAACTGCATGATTCTTTTGAACAGGACCTTCTGATACTTCAATAGCTAGACCAGGCTTCTTCAATAGCTAGACCAGGCTCATGTCAGAGTAGTACTTTAGTGAATGCTGGCTAACAATGATCATTTAGCCTAAACTCCTATCAAAACCAAAAAGCAAAAAACAGTACAGCTCCATAAAATACGTAACTTAAATATAGCAGCCATTATTCTTTCAAAGTTAGACGTCTGATTGTCCATTAGTCACTTTTAGTTTCAAATGCACTCAGTTCTTACAAGTTTCTTATAGAGTGAATATTGGTGATGAATCATGTTTCATTTGCCAGTGATCACAAGGGAATTACAAACATATTAGGAGAAGGTATTTACTCCTTAACATAAAGAGTTATGTATATTGATTTCTGTCATGTGGAACAGAGGATATGAGCCTTTCAAAAAGAGCACGCCAAATTGTGAAAGCCTGTGATTATGGTGTGCCAGGAGGTGCTCGTGGGAGCTGAGCAGCCAAGCAGAGGGTGTTAATCCTCCTATGTCTTGCAAGATGGTGGAGAATTAGGGGTTGTAACTAGTACAAATGATGGGGTGGGATGCTGTGGGTGGGAGCTAGTTCACAAGCCATTTGGAATCAAGTTCCCCAGTGTCTTTGGCATGTGGAGTGGGCACAGACAACCACTAACCTATAGGATGACTGTTTATTCTTTGTTAGATAGTGTAGACCAGTGCTTCTCTGGCATCAGTGTGCATACAAATCATTGAAGATCTTGCAACAACGCAGGTTAGCAGGCCTGAATAGGATGGGCAGAGATTTGCATTTCTAACAATCTCTCTTATCTCGCTGCCACAGACCACACTTTGAATGTTGATGCAATAGAGAAGACCTGTTAAATCTTTCGTTCTTAGGGAGGAAAATGGAAGGAGAGTTAGAATGTGGCCTCACTGGACATCATAGTTTTGATGTCTTTTCCCAGACCACAGAGAAGGGTCTGCTTTCTTTCCTTCCTGATGAACTTTGACTACAGCACTGTTTTAGTGTCATCTGGTATTTTGTTTTGCTTGTTCTCTGCTATTTGTTTGCTTTTAATTTGTGTAATACCGTTGGGCCGAGAGAAGAGGTGTGTTTGTGATCACAGTCTGGTTTCGCCTTTAGAGGGCTGGCTCAGAGGGCCAGACATCTGGGTTCCTATCTCAGTTCTACCAGGTCACTGTGTGACCTTAGAAAAATCACTTAATTCCTCTGGGCATGGTTTCCCTACCTGGAAAATGAAACATTGGACTAGATGATCTATAATTACCTCTAATTCGATGCCTCTCAACTAACTTTCTAAAATTTCAATTTTTTTTCTCTTACATAAGAGACAAAATTAAATGGATTACTTTGAGACTAATCTATACAATTAATTCCTGAGCGTTGCACAGGAATTCAAAAGTAAATACCGAATGAATGGTTTGCATATAATAATGAT